TTCACCCTGCTGTTAAGTAGAAACATATTGCTGTGTTGATATTGTGGAAATACAAATGAGTGCAGTTTGGTACAAGTAATGCACTGAATGTTATAGGCTACTGTCAAAGTGCTTTCCTGTGCCCTATTAGAGTAGGTCGCACATTGGCCAAGCATATTCTAGTTTCTTCTTCTATTATTATTCCATCCTGCTGTCACAACAGATCCGAGTTGTGTTGTGTTGCGTAGCCCAGGCCTTGTGGTGGAGTTACAGTATGTTAGCATAGTAAGCGTATAGCATGCTAACCTGCTGACAAAAGCCATTTCAGATCATTTCTATATGAATACTGTCATGATTCATGAAATTCAGTGAAATAACGATTAAATTCATTTTATTAATAACCTGCATTCCATTCAAAATAATGTACGGTATTTGTTGTATGTAACTTCAATTAACCAAAATGTTGGTGGAAGATTTCTCTGGCCTCCATGTGTTCTTCCTCCACCACTCGGACAATCCTTACACATACCATTGGAAAATGACAGCATTTTACACCTTGCTTTGTTTTCTTTCGTGCCTAACTTTCATCCCAAGCTTGTTAAAACTTGGAGATTTACATTACACCTACGAGGAAAACAGGCAGAAGTCACTGCCAGGCAACAGTGGATGAACTGTGCCTGAAAAAGTTAACACAGAAATCCTACTATAGTCCAGGTTTCAGAGGTTATTGCTCTTTTAGCCTCATTTATAATTAAACTGTTAAGTAGTCAACAGTTCTATGTAGCACAGTCCATCCGACCACACAAATGTACTCCCCTTTCCATTCACTTTACCATTAACAGCCCACAGGTGTACTCGCTCACACTATATTATTGTGCGACAATGTGCTTAACGCTCAGACGTCTTAACCTCCGTCATCTGAATATGTGTCGGGCATACATGCAGCCAGTCCCACCAGGCTTGCACAAAAGATTAGCAGTGTGTCTGCTACAAATGAGTAATGGACTAAAGTCTAGCATGATAATGTTAGCATGAAAAACATTCTTCTCTTTTGTTTTCCTCGTCAGAACTGAGGTGGGGATTCTGGAGTCACACAGTAAAACTGCTTTTGTTCACCAACATCTGGTAAAGGCCTTGTTTTCTGCAAACAAAGGTGACAAGGAGACAAACGTCTACACATTTAGCGTGTGTGGCTAAATGAGTGCGTGGCATTTAACTCCCTGCCCAGGCTGGATTGCCAAGTATGAAGGATCTACCAAGACAATATACCATGCTGCTACAATAAACCCCTTCAACAGTGATGACTCTTGGGAGAATGAATCACAAGCTAATTGCGGAATAGGGTTTAAAGGAACGACTTATCAAACACCAGCTGTCTAGATGAATAAACTCAAGTGTGGTTAAAAAATACCCCTGATGGAAGGCGTCACGGATCCGCTGTGAGTAAATTTAACCTCAGAGGAGAAGCCCTCTTAGTCTCTGTGGCGCCAAAGATGGCACACAGTGCTACCGTGTTATAGCATGTCCATAACATGTGAAACTGAACGGAGGTTATCTGGAATGAGCCTGAGGCTGAAGGGTCTGTAAATCTTCACAGTAAAATGGTATTTTACAAGGTGTCATTTCTAAGATAAATGGATGGTCATATATCACCTGATGCTACAATTCCTGACCACAGGTGAGTGGATCAAATCAGCAGAGAAGCTGCTAGTGTCTAAATGAAAAGTGAATGAATAATGATCTCAAAACTACCATTCTGTTTATTTGACCAGTTGTGTAATTATTTAAACCTGCAGTGCGGAACTTTTGTCTCCTCTTCTGGCAGTGACAGTAATTACACAAACACTGTCGATGCATGCTCATGATGTCTTCCTACAGGTGAGCTCGCCTCAGGCTCGTGTTCACTGAGACATTTCCACAGTTCCAAGACAATAATCCATTCTTTAGGAAGTGTAAATGGAAAAACTACATAGCCTACTCCAAATACCTCAGTCCCTTCTCTTCTCTCCACGCACTGCAACGTTGAAAAATGACACCAAAGGTTGTCCATGTTTGTCCTCACCGCCGCTTTCTTTTTTTTACTGTAATCCTTCTGAACAGTGAGTTTCTTTTTTATCTTGTGCATCAGAAACATTTCACTCCAGTGGCTCCAGAGCCATGTAAAGAGAGAGAGTTGTGTCAGCTCCATTCAACTGGCTTGTAGTGTTTTGGTTCAGTGTCACTGCTCTTATCAACACTGTTTCCAGCTGCAATAGCTCTGATAAACCCACTGTACTCTACCTGCATAGCACCAAACAGCAGGCATACAAAGTTAGCGACTAGCTGCTGAACAAAGCAGAGCATTTAGCACCTGAGGAGCCAGCTCTTTTTCTCAGGGGTCGGTAGATACCAACACAGAGGGAAATGGAGAGTTTGGACTTAATATGTGTCAGATGGCCAGAAAAGTCCCCAAATGAATGCTAATGCTCACAATGACAACATACCATCATCAATATAACATTATAATATGTCAGCTTTGTTAACTGCATATTCAACTGTCCACATGAAAAGTCCATGAGATGGTCCTACACCATTCGTACGGAAGCTCTTAGAGGCAAGTGAGAAAAACATTCTGGTAATCCATTTTCAAAGTATGATCTAAATAGTATTTCTGTTCTGTGTTTATGACTGGACAATGTGAAAGAAGCTTTTCCAGGATAATCTGTCTACAATTCCTTGCTTTTCTAAATCCGTGAAAGAGGTTTTGCTCCTGTTTTTACTGTTTAAGTTACTTTTATTACACATGTGAAATAAAATAATGCATTTTTCTTCAGGGAAGAAAAGGTTTTAGCAGGTGAAATTTTTTTTTTGTCAGGATTGTGTTGTCACAATACTCATTTTGGCCACAGCAGGCTTGAAGCGCACCACTACCGCATGATTTAAATATGTTTTCTTCCAGGTGAGAATTTTTAATTTCTTCATGAACATAAAACATAAACATAAACATAAGGTACAACCAATATATTGCTTGTTAGCTTAAGTTATGTAACACTACTGAGCGTTGTGTGGAGAGGACAAGGCAGAGCGAGGGATTGAATCTCCGCTGGCCGACACAGAGCTGCTGAGCTACGGAGAGCTGTGTAGAACAAGTTAGCATAGCATAGCCCTGATTGATCCTGAGTCAAACTCCATTCAGAAAACAAACACTTTAAAAGTTGTTGTCTTGCTGACAGACCTGACAAGGCATGAATATATATGCTTAACAAATCTGCATAATGTTGTAGTTATTTATTGCAACTAAATAACAAAAAAAATGTCTTTGGTATACAGCTGTAGCGATAATACCCATTATTCGTATTATCGCAGTAGTCCAGCAATAAAACCCCCGAGTGGAAAGCGACATGAGGATGAAATTCACATTTGGTCTGAATGCACAGTTAGTTACCTTTTTTTCACCAATTCCTAAGCCATAAACACACAAGAAGAAAAAAACATTTTAGATCAGAAAATGGATCTCCAGCATTTTTTATTTCTCACTTGCCTCTCAGGGCTTCTGTACATTTGCATTCATAGGTGGTGCAAAATTGCACAATGTTAAGACATCTGTTTTTGAGTTCTACAGTGTCCTGTGAGAGAGACATGCACAAGAAGACAATGTATTGGTTGGTTCTGATTTTGTACATGTGTCTATATTTGTTATTACTGCCAACAAGCAAATAAGGAACAGCTGTGCAGGCCAGTCATGGCTCACAAGAGTGGTCAGGTGGTGTGCAGAGACAGTCAGCTCACTAAGGACACCTAGTGGGCAGGTGTTGTGGCAGCAGGATAGAGAGGAAATTGTACGGGTAGAGAAGGGAGGAAGGAGACAGTGCAGATGTTGGCATGATATCTTGTTTGTACATTGTTTGGTCCTGCTTCTGGGAACCCATAGCATACGCCAAATCACTATAAAATCAGTACTTTTGATTGCTAAATGTGGTGGATCCTATCTTATCCTATCACACCCGTCCCTGTTCAGACATGTTATTTTGTGTCCAGATGTATCCAGACTGTGCCTGGATCCAGCTGAGTTTAACTTCAGTTCACATCTGGCATTTAAATGTGTCTAAAATGGGTCTCAAGTGAAATATCAATTTTACTGAATCATTTAAATTGCGTAATGTCAGTTCTGGAATTCCATACAGTTCACTTGCGTGACCAGCTGGCTCAATCCAACAGGAGGCCGCACAGATTCAAAATGCACAAGGAACTAAGGAACAATCAAACCCAAGAGATAATCATGCTTGGAAAAGGTATATATACAGTATGTTAGTAGTTTTGAGTGTGTGATACAAGGGAAAGTGAATCTGTGAATAAACAGGTATGGAAAGATTGAACAGCAGAGAAGCCCACAGCACAGACTTTACAGGTTTGAGCAAGCTGTAAGACAAACACAGCAGAACAAGGAGGCAAGCAAACAGAGTGGGTTGGTTGTCAAGCTGGCAGAACAAAACAACAGAACAAAACAGTTGCAGTTATCAACTAGCAACTGTCTTAGGCTGCTTTCATATAATAAATCATACAGAACAGGGATAGAGAGGGGAAGGGATATTATATCATCTATCAAGTAAAAACCACAAACTGAACAAAGCTTACTGAGGACATCCAGTGGAGGAAAAAGGTAGAATGGTGCTGTTCATCCATCCATCTTCTTCCGCTTATCTGGGGTCGGGTTGCGGGGGTGCTGTTCAACTACTTCCTATTATGTAACAGGTGACATTCTATTTTTCTTATTCACCCCATGGGAATTTGATCACCAATTATTTACTTATTATGTCACGTGTGTGTATTGTGTAACAGCATGCTGAATGATAAAGGTGTAATCTGTCCCACTCTGGTGCAACAAATTATAGCAACATTTTGGTATGTGTATCAGACATCTTTGCATTCTTCAGCTAACTGAACATGGGAACCAACAGTGTTTCCAAGAAAGGACTGCAGATTTCTTAAGAGAACATTTAAATTGACCTCTTCATTAAAATCAGAAAAAATGCACTTTTTTAGATTTTAGAAGTTTTATTCAAAGTGACAGAAGAATACAAACAGATATACAAAATATAAAAATGTATGGTATAACATTTTTAGACAAAAGTGAAAGTAAAGTGACAGTCTGGCAAGATTGGAAATACGTGGAACTCTTTAGCTTCTTATCTTTTTTTTAAAGAGCAGACTCAATCAGAATACAGAAAAACAAGGTTATTATTGTGACATAAGTACAAGAAGAAAATAAAAGAAAACAGTTCTTAATCACAAAGTTGCTTAGGGGATTGCAATTCCATGTGGCTAAAGAAGTGTCAGTATGGCAAGAGAATATTTACATGATGCCACTTTGACCTCGACAATAAGCAGATGTTCTTTCCCTGGTAATGACTTAAAAATGTAAAAGTCGATTTAAATTCCATTATATTGTATATGTCCCATGGTGGACATTTTGACTTGTCATAGAATGAAAAGCTAAGGTGTGGTGGCTATTTTCCATTTAGGTGTTCCGTTTCCAGGAGCCAGGACCGTGGTAATGTGCATGCTGGTTTACTCATATGCTTTACTGGGTGTTATTAGTTCTACAGGGAAATGTAGAATCCGGAAGTTAATGGAGTTTGACCGATGTAACAGACTAAAATTCAGGATACCTCAGCCTCTGCTGCTTTGATTTTGACTGTCTTGTAAAACTTTGTCAGGGGCATTCCATGTATTTTATGTAAGAGCAATACTTAATTGCTAGAGTACCCATTTTTATGAAGTATTTTTTTTAAACCATCAATTTTACTTTGCCCTTAAAAAAGACGTTGTTCAGTGATGCTTCATACAAATTACATTCAGATAGACAGTGTATTATAATAAAGGTAACTTGCTAATGTTTGCTCAGAATACAGTAGATGTTAAATCCACATCATGTTTTATTTAAGCACATTTTGCACAAATGCTTTCGCCTCTACTTATGTACAGCTACAACAACAGCAAAGTAATAGCTCGGGAAATATGAGAGATTATTTGATCATTGGCATTGCCAATTATCCCTTTTAGAAAGGTTTTGTACCACTGCAGTTTCATGCACTGAAAGATGATGATTTGGGGACATGTGGAGACACGCGGTCTGAAATGCAAATTTCAGATGTCCCGCGTGAAGAGTGAGCACTGTAGATGTACTTTTTGCTAAAACACCAGAGGTCCAAAAGTATTTGCTGGAAGTGGCTCCTGAACTTCACACCAATGAAGGCGTAGAGGAGGGGATTAAGACAGCAGTGGAGGTAGGCTATGCTCCTGGAAATGGCCAGAACTTGAAGTTTAATCTTTTCAGCCTCACAACTCCTCTGCTTAAAAAGAGACAGAGTGTGGTTCATCAGAGCCACGTTGTAGGGGAGGTGGCACATGATGAAAACCACAACAACTGCGAAAACCACACGGATGGCCTTGTGCCTCTGGCTGCTGTGTGCTCTCAGCAAAGTGCGCACGATGCTGGAGTAGCAGAACACCATCACCAACAGAGGCAGCAGGAAACCAATGGCCATTTGAAGGCTGGGAACCAGCACCTTCATTACCTTTGCAGTTTCGTTCTTCCTGAATGACAGCTCACACATCACAGTGACAGTCTCAGCCCCCAGAGTTTCCTCTTCAAAGCAATCAGAGTAGATGAGAGTGGGCAGAGTTAAAGCCACTGCAACTACCCAAACAACTGAGCAGATGAGGCGGCTGTAGATCAGAGTGCGTGATCGAGCACCGAAGGATCTTCTAGCTTGAACTATAGCTACATAACGGTCGGCACTGACGCACGCAAGCAGGGCCATGCCACTGTAGAGATTGATACTATAGGCGGACCTCAGCATTTTGCAAGCCACAGCACCCATTAACCAACCGTGCTGCTCGTTGTATATGATAAATGGCAGAGCTACCACAAAGATCAGGTCTGCCACAGCCACATTAAAGAGATAGACATCTGTCATCGTCTTGGTTCTTTTGTAGAATATGTAGGTGACGATTACAAGAGCGTTGCCAGTCAGGCCAAAGGCACAGATGATGGAATGGATGTAAGTTTGGGTGATGACATCCACGGGGTTAGCGTCGAGGATGCAAAGCTCTTCATCTGTGTCATTTTCTTCAACTGGGTAATCTTCTGTACTGTAATAATAGTTTGAAGTCACCGACTCCATGTTTTGCTCTGGAGAAAAAAAGATGATGATCAGTTACACCAAAAAGAAAACTGTTGAAGAAGCAGGGGAACACAACAAAATGTCAAACATTTCCTGAATGATCTGTGATAGACATTTGGCCGCACATTTTAATTAGACTTAGAGCTGTGTTGGAATGTAACTAAGATTTACTGGATCAGCATGCTTTCATGCAGTTTTGAGCTACTTGTATTTGAGTATTTTCATTTTATATTACTATACTTTTTTTCAGATGGAGCTATTGCCCTTTTTACTCCACTGCCTTTATTTGACTCCTATAGTTACTTTTACACGTTAGGATATTATATGCTGCTGGGTAGCATAATCTATGTTGTTATATCATCATTTATTTGTTGTTTATATTTTGTATTAATAATTTTAATTGGCAAAGTAACTTCTAACTAAAGCTGACAGACAACCGTAGTGGAATGAAATTAGAATTTTTGCCTCCAAAAAGTACAAAGTAGGATAAAACGGAATTACCAAGAAAAGTAAAAAAAACTGTGGTAGAGTTCCATGTAAATACACTTTAACATTACAGCATTTTGAATACTTTTACTTGTAATTGAGCATTTTTAGACTATGATATTTCTACTTTTACATAAGTGAAAGCTCTGAATACTTCCTCCACTATAAATAGTTTATGAATTGTAACTAATGGCTTTATAAATAGTTGATAACTAATGTATTAATTCTTTAACATATCAAATCAAATTTTGACGAAACAATCACTCAGTGCTTACACTTTATTCTCCAATTCAAGTTGGGTAACATTCTGCATTTACCAAACTGAAAATACAATTTAGCACATCATTTTGATGGTTTAGTGCAAAGTCTGCACCCTGTACGGACTGAGTAAAACTACACAGCTTTTTGTCTGCTTACAGGATAAAAGCCAGTGTTCTAGTTCAGCTCTTCCTCTGGTTGTCAATGACCCAATTTCCATACCATTAGACATTAAGTGAATGCATGCAAAAATAGGCTGCAGGTGGGTGCAGTCTGTGCTTTCTCTGATCTAAGAATCTGAGGAGATCCTTATCACCTATAATCACTAAGAGTCAATGTGTATAAGGTCACCAACATGAGGGTGAGAAAACACCAACTAACTTTGTAAGTAAGTAAAAATAAGAACGTAAGAAAATCATCCAAATGTTTTCCTGTGTGACACTAAGAGATAAGACACCTCTGATTTTTCTGTTTTCTGATATTAGATTATAGTAAAACTCAGCACTGCAATAAACACACGATTTCTCATTTGTTGAAATTTTAGCATGTGAGAAACATGTTGCAGGCCTCGACTTACTTCTTCAAAAACCTGATCTAAGGAACGAACATGACAATGTAATGATATCTCTTGTTTCAGGACTTTCACTTCTCACAAATCACTATAGTAAGATTATATATAGTATGGTGTAGCGCTCGACGATGAGGAAGGTATTAGGTTTTGCACGTATCTGTTTGGAAGCATAGTAAAACGGAAAAAGTATGAGCTTTTTGTGTAGAAACATCTTTTGAGAACTTCAAGTGCTCTTTAAATATTATTTCCATAGTTAACATTTCTCTAAACGTGTTCTGTCTGTGTAATTTATACATCTTTTCTGTGAAACTCGAGTCATTTGAATCTTTTCACATGATCAATCATTTTAAATGTTGTAAAACAGTTTCAGGCTTTAAATGTATTGCTTGCACTATGAAAGAAAAAATATTTAATTGTGGTTAGATGCATCTAAATATATGATGTATATAGACACATGAAAATATATTATACAGTTACCAAACTGGAAGAAAAAAAACAGCACAAAATTTAGAAAGTATAAACCTTCTAAATTTTGTGCTGTGCAGGACATACATACCTTGCAGGATGATGATTCTCACTCAGGTAATTTCTTTGTTCTCTCTCTGATGTTGTTAAGTTAAATGAAAGTGAAAAATATTCCTTCCAGGTACGAGAGAAAGTGTCAAAGCTGGTTATGAAGAAAGAGTTCAACGTGGGGCTTTATGTCACAAATACTGTGCGATTAAAGAAATTTCAAAAAAAGACGACAAAGCCAAAACCACATGTGCTGTGGGGGTGTATACTTTGTCACTGATCTTCCTGCTTTTGATCTCAAATGCATCTGTATCTGTTGTCTATATTCACAGGTCCTCTTTATCTGATGAACAAAATAACACTTTGTCATTCTGCATACAGGGACATCCCCCTGTGTGTTCAATGTAAAGATGATTTGATTTACTGTAAGTACACAGTAAAATCAAAATACATAACACTGTTAATTTTAATACTTCTAAAGTGTCTATATGGGTCCACACCACAGACTGTTATTGAACTCTTTTTGGAGTTAAACACCGACCAGTGTTAGTTTTTTTAAACACTTTTATGTAGAGTTAGACTTTAACTCTCTCAGAGTTTACTACACAAGTATTATTCCCACAACATTTTAAAGGTGTAATAGCTCTTCCATAAAGTTTGCAAAACAAAGATGATCAGGTTTGGTGTTATTTTAACATTTACTCAAAAAAATATAACAGAATGAACAGATTAGGTGTGCATCCTAACTGCTGGCTTATTAAATAGTTAGGGTGGCTAGTAACAGTGTGGGGACATTGGGGACAATTTGAAGTTATGGTGGCTCACCATTGCAAAATGACATAGGCGCCAGTTGAGAAATATCAATATAAGATAAAACATTAAGAGATACTTCATTTCCTTATCAGACAGTGTTAAAGTTCAGAGCCAGGTCCAAAGCATGGTCGCTGGTTTTGCAGCAGTCAGTGGAGTGCTTTCTTGAAGGGTCTCCAGGCCTCGGTGTGTGCAGGCCTACGCAGTGGGTGCGGCTTGCTTTCCTGGGTAAAAGTGTGTGTGTGAGTGTGTGTGTATGATTGCAATCTTTCTGATCAGCACTTGACACCTTGCAGATTAGCCTGCCATCATTGTGTGAATGTTTTCATTGCAATCTAAGGGTTTAATTTCTGGTTTAACATTAAAATATCATACAAAAAATATTTGTATTTATTTTAGTATTATAAACTTAGTGGTCGGCAATAGGCGGCCCGCGGGCCAGAACCGGCCCGCCAGCAATAATATCTGGCCCGCGGCCAGATTGCTTTAATAGCAGAAAAATAAATAAATTGATAGGGGCTGGTGCTGAAATAGATCTCAGTAATGACAGATACAGTTACTCACACAATCACTTCCTCTTAAGTGATTGTGGCTGCCACATAAAAGCGCTCTCTGGCTTGCTGGACACCTCTGGGAAGAATGTAGAAAGTTGCGTGGCGCTGCGGAGAGCCCCCAGTTGCAGTAGTGCGTGGATCATGCGTAATAGTCATCCAGCCAACGGTCACGATCCGTTCACAGCCTGTCGGCACCGGAGAGGGAGGGGGGCGGACCAGGGACAGGAGATCGCGGAGCGACTGGCCCGCTGCGGTCCGTCAGTGATTGTTTCCTCTGGATGGTGTCAATATTTTAGAGACCCCAAAAAATATCACAAATCATGCTTTTAGGGGAGCTGATGTCTTATTAGGTGGCTCCCCCATAGTTCGCACCCTGCTTTCCCCAGAGAAATGAAAATAAGCGTTCATAGGTTTATGAATGCGGATCAACACACACTGCAGCACTTGTCTTATTGTGAGCATGTGCTGTGTCCTTATAATCATGTAATAAAGAAGGGGGGGGGGGGGGTATACGCAGTCAATTGGAATTGATCTTCCAGTCTCCCTAATGGGAGTCCCGCACAGTACTGAGCTAAACATGCACATGTATACACAAGGATTTGAAATCATTTGACTTTGTTCTGGCCCGCCATTTAATAGGTTGTTATATAAAGTCGTTGTTCAGTGATGCTTCATAGAAATTACATTCAGATAGAAAGTGACTGACCGTCTAATTTGTATTATAATAAAGGTAACTTGCTAATGTTTGCTCAGAACACAGTAGATGTTCAATCCACTTCATGTGGGGGTGTATACTGTGTCACTGATCTTCCTGCTTTTGATCTCAAATGCATCTGTATCTGTTGTCTATGTTCACAGGTCCTCTTTATCTGATGTTTCTACAAACAAAATAACACTTTGTCATTCTGCATACAGGGACATCCCCCTGTGTGTTCAATGCAAAGATTCAAAATACATAACACTGTTAATTTTAATACTTCTAAAGTGTCTATATGGGTCCACACCACAGACTGTTATTGAACTCTTTTTGGAGTTAAACACCGACCAGTGTTAGTTTTTTTTAACACTTTTATGTAGAGTTAGACGTTAACTTTCTCAGAGTTTACTACACAAGTATTATTCCCACAACATTTTAAAGGTGTAATAGCTCTTCCATAAAGTTTGCAAAACAAAGATGATCAGGTTTGGTGTTATTTTAACATTTACACAAAAAAATATAACAGAATGAACAGATTAGGTGTGCATCCTAACTGCTGGCTTATTAAATAGTTAGGGTGGCTAGTAACAGTGTGAGGACATTGGGGACAATTTGAAGTTATGGTGGCTCACCATTGCAAAATGACATAGGCGCCAGTTGAGAAATATCAATATAAGATAAAACATTAACAGATACTTCATTTCCTTATCAGACAGTGTTAAAGTTCAGAGCCAGGTCCAAAGCATGGTCGCTGGTTTTGCAGCAGTCAGTGGAGTGCTTTCTTGAAGGGTCTCCAGGCCTCGGTGTGTGCAGGCCTACGCAGTGGGTGCGGCTTGCTTTCCTGGGTAAAAGTGTGTGTGTGAGTGTGTGTGTATGATTGCAATCTTTCTGATCAGCACTTGACACCTTGCAGATTAGCCTGCCATCATTGTGTGAATGTTTTCATTGCAATCTAAGGGTTTAATTTCTGGTTTAACATTAAAATATTTTAGTATTATAAACTTAGTGGTCGGCAATAGGCGGCCCGCGGGCCAGAACCGGCCCGCCAGCAATAATATCTGGCCCGCGGCCAGATTGCTTTAATAGCAGAAAAATAAAAAATAAATAAATTGATAGGGGCTGGTGCTGAAATAGATCTCAGTCATGACAGATACATATAATGGGTTGAAAAAAATTTGGCCGATGCCAGACTAATTTGACGACCCCTGTTATAAACCATGATGTAGCCTAATAAATCCTTAACTTCTTTTTTACTAAAACAACCATCAAACCAGTCTCTTTTTCTATTTGTGGAACATTTATTTGTTTGCATGTCAGGCTTGTGGTTTGGACTTGACTGGATGTGTCTACAAACTGTAGTTGCTTTTACTCAACATGACCAGCAGATAGAGCTGTTATTTCAGTGGATACCAAATAATTAGTGGACTTCGACACAGACAGACATAATGTACAAAACATAACGACACATGATGTAAAGGTGCATCGTAACAATTACCCTGAGTTTATATGGACAGAAGGCTAGATCCGATGTGTTATTTTCAAGTTATTATTTGCAATGATATTGTGGAGATGGTGAACCCATCTCAACAGAGCTTTATTTATGGAACCAACGTTTGGGCCTCCCTTACTTTCAGTGATGTAAATGTATAATCTACATCACAGTGACTAACCGCTGATTTAAGGCCTTTTTAGGAGAGAAAAAACATGTATGCTTTTTTAAAAGGTCGTTTAATACAAATGTATACATTTCTAAATTGCAGATCATGTTAACAGATTATGTAGGTAAGCAACATTAAGTTTAAAACTGAGAACAAAACCCTAATTATCATAATTTCAACAGCCCACATCTTTGAATACCTCATAGGTGAACTTTTATCAATTAAATTCTCTTAAATTCAGATACAAACACATCCATCCATGCCTACCATATAAAAGCCTTATAATTACACAGCGTGTGAAGAGGTAATTAAGGGGCAAATGGAGGTTTGCATCAAGGTGAGACTAAATTGAGAAGGTTGTGCTGAGAGATTCAAGAACCAGAGACAACCTGTGAGCTGCATTAAGCAGAAAGCTGAGTCTGCTTTTCAAAATAAAAGCTTTTTAGTGTAACTCATAAATGGAAGTACCCTAAGTCTTGTGTGTGAGAGAATAACGTACGTGAATTGTAATGAAATGCATAGCTAATCTTAAATTTTATAATTAAAGGATTCCCAAAACAGATCTGTCAGAATACACAGTCCGTAAATTGCCCCTTGCTTAACTATTAGGCCTATATACACTGAGCTTGTCAAATTTGTTTTTAACCCATTCTCATCACCCACAGGACAGGTGGAGCACCTGCTGCAAGCACCCAAAAACGCAAATACAAAAGCCTGTTTGAATATGACACAGTATAGGCTACTTGTGAGTACTTGAAAGGGTAGGGTACACTACAATGTACAGCTACAGAGCAGATACTACTGACCAATATGCATTTGTGGCCCCGAATGGTTCAGTCCTGCCATGCATTTCTTTCTGCTTTGACCTTTAAAGTGCAAAGATATGGCAAGATTGTTTTGTTTAAAACACTACACATTTTGTTGCAGTATATCGTTTTTATTGAAAGAGCGTTAAATACATAAAGAGCCATTATAAGAGAATTTCCTCCCCTTTCACTCTCATTTTGTATGCAAATAAAACTTTTTATATCAATATTTTATCTTTAATTTAAAATGTCAAGTGTGGAGAAGTGTTTTCAAAAGGCTTTTTTTTTTAGTTTGGCAACAACCATAGCCTATTGTGTTTCCTGAGTAAATCAAATTATATAATTCTACATAGCCCCGTTTCAAAACATTTGAGCGACCTTCTTCTTTTAACGTGGTTGGGGCTCTCTCAACTAAGTCTGGTAATAACTTTATGGACATGTTGTTTCAGCATAATGTTGCATATTAGAGAAATAAATAAACAGTAGTAATAGGCATTTTATTTTGAAGGTTTCGGAAGTGTGGCCTACTTTTTCTTCCGCGGATCTTAAATTGCTCCCTCGCTGTTTTACCTGGTGGCGCGCGCGACCGGTGTGGGCAAGTCCAAAGCCTCGCGGGAACCAGCTCTGCAGGTTCGCCCGGTGAATCACTCCTCCAGCAGCTGCTCTATAAGTAGGACAACTTTCCCCGTGCCTTCATCTTCCTCGCACTTTCTTAGCAAGGACTTTTTTTTTGTCAGACACCATGAGTAAGTCCAGCACGCTGAAAGTAAAGGGCTTGTTCAAATTAAAATCACCTGATAAAGACAGCAAGGAGCGGAAACGGCCGGGCTCCCTCAAAGATGGAGCAGGGACCACCCCCACGGACAAGTTGGGGTCTTTACCGGCAAGTCCCGGTCCCCTCAGCCCGGGAGACAGCGACACATTGCCCGGGGATGTTTCGCCCTTTTCCCCGAAAGAAAAGAAGAAAAGGCGGCTGTTGCCGTTCAAGCTGAAACGAAAGAAATCCAAGCACAAAGAAGAAGCAGGAGAGGTGTTCCTCCACGACACTGATGAGCTGGACAGCTTCAACAGCCACATGTAAGATGAAAACAAGTTTATTCATTTTATTTATTCGTTTGGCTCGCAGACACACATTACAATAGTTAGCCCATTTAACTCAGTAGCAATGTCATAGTTTTAAATAAACTAACCACCACAGATAAAGGCCATTCACAGTCCATCCATCCATCAGATAACCTCTTATCAGTGCAGGGTGGTGGGGCCACAACTCCCCATTTAGAAAAAATAGTGGCCCTAATCACCCTTATCAGAAAATATCTTTGTTATATTATCTATAATTGTATTCAATCACTGTTTACTCTGGACCAAGTCAAAACACAATCTGGATCTATTCATTGAATTAATAGTGAAGCCCTGGTAGTCCTCAGACCTCACTTTGGAGACCCAATGCATGATATTTCACAAGCCAACAGCAGAGTGGAAACATCTCACAGAGCCAGTGTTCACCCCCTCAGGCACTTTTTCAAAATGGACCAGTGTGGCAGTGAGCTGTGGCAGAGCTAGTTTAGTCACGCATTGCTTTTGTTGGTGTCGAGTTTGAAAAATGCAGAGGAGAGGTAAACAGCGAGGAGGGAGAGCAGCTGAGCTGTCACGCAGAACACGAGCTGCTGTTCTCCTCACGCGCTTCATTTTCATTTTACATTGTTGTGGAACGTGAATGTGAGAAGCGGAGGGACCCCATTCTGTTTGGGTGCCCTGGGGAAAGGCGCTTGACCCCCAATCCTTCAAGCCTTGCTTGCTGGACGACAGGGCAAGACTCTGGCAGCTCCAACGTGTAGAACTGTGTGACTTTGAAGAAGTAAAGATCCATGCTGAGTCACTCTTTCCTGGATAAATTAAAGATTTCAAAAGAAAGTGGTCAAACCTCAAGTGGTCACAATAATGACAGAGAAAGTTCCAGTACTTTATTTATCCCAGATATTTCCAGTTCTCTTTATACAAATATGTATTGCAGCTCATAATGCCCTGCATCCAGACCAGTTTCAGGTGTGCTTGTGAAGGGTTGACGTGTATTGCCTCTGACTCAGCTGTTATTGTCACATGTTGTTGCGCTAAATGTACATCGACAGATGCTCTTGTGATATGAGGAAGACGAGCATTGCATAACATTTAATTTTGAAATTAAAAACCTGCTGTGCAGGTATGACACATTTCCTGGTTCAGTGCAATTAGATGTGGCTCGATGAAGTTGATTTTGGGTCTGAGTAGTTCTGGAGCTGAGTAATTATGAGAGAGCGGGCACGACATGTGACACTGTCCACAAGCCTCTTGTTTATTGACAAGGGAACAAACATAAACGTTTGACTCTTATGATGTAGGAGTACACAGGAGGTAATTATATTATAATGACTATGTCCTCCCCACTCAGCTGGATTGGGTGTAATATTATAAAACGGTTGCTTTGTGTAGTGAGAGCCTGCATGAAATGAATGGTCTCTTCACAGATAAAGTCATCAGTCACAGGCATTTGTTTCCATCCTGCTGTGATTAACTGGTCTTTGCTTCCCAAACATCTGCAGGCAAGCAAATTTCCATTACATGGGGAATTTTCAAAAAAGTACATGACGTCTTTGTTTTGGTTTTTTTTACCACTTTTTGTGGTAGCTAAGGCTGCCGGGGGTAGAAGAATTGTAAAACAAGCTGAAAGACACATAACCCTGACATGTTAACATGTGATAACGTTATCAAGCTAAGGTGTTGGCAAGCAATTGTCTACTTACACATTATCATCTAGGTGTGACGATACACTTGGAGCTCACGAGACGAGACAATACGCCATATTGGGTTCATGAGAACGAGACGATATTTTAACACTTTTTTTAAGAAATCTACAATGACGAAATATATGACTGGAAAAATCGTATTTAATTCGACTGAAAGCCACAAAATGCTGAACAGTGCAAGTTGAAATGTTGAGAAGCATTTTGAAATGTTGCTTACATATTGTTTGTTTCTTGTCTGTCACTCTGTCGCCATTTATTGTTTCCACCAGGTCCCCAAAATAATGTCACATAAAGCATTTAAAAGTGGCGGTGGCATCTTCTACGCTTATTTCACCCTCAAACTCCGTCATGCCGATATTGTGAGACAGCTTTTCACCTCGACGAGTCACAGCCTTATTATCATCCCATTGCAGTTGTTCTTCTGGGCACCTGATGCGCATTTTGTCAGTTCAGCAGATGTTATGAAATGTTTACCCAGAGTGCAGCAAACATTGAATTTTCACCCTGTCACGTGTCACAATTTTCACATTTTCAGTAGAGCCGAAGCAACAACGGTAGTTGATTAATAGATAAGTTAATAAGCGACATTAATTTAATTGGCAACTGCCATTTTTCAAGGAAAAATGCCAAACTTTCTCTGCTCCCAGCTTCTCTAAGGTGAATTTCCTGCTTTTCTTTCTCTTACAGTAAACTGAATATTTTTGAGCTTTATGCCGCATTCGGACCAACCGCGAATTTTCTCCTCGCGACGCTTTGCTCGCGTGAGTACATTCGCTGAAAGTGTTCACACACAACACGAGAATGTGATTTTAACGCGATAACGTGAATAAACACAACTCACCTTTACTACAACTGTATGAATCCAAAGTAAACATTTTGCTGTGATTAAATAGCAATAAACGGATTAAACTGATGCCGAAATAACTACAACATGATGCAGATTTGTTAAACATATGAATTCATGCTTTGTCAGGTCTGTCAGCAGAAAAGCAGGACAACAACTTCTAAAATGTTTGTTTTCTGAATGGAGTTTGGATCGATCGGGGCTATGCTATACTAACTTGGTCACAGTAAAGTACAATGATAGCTGGAATAAAGTTACAGACACATGTTTTCTGAACTCACCAGGTAGTTCAACTTCCTCGCTTTCTTTTCTCCCAGCAATGTCCAGTTTTGTCCGTTTTTTATATAAATATGAAGCTCGTAGTCCGACAGAGCTAACGACGCTAACAACAGCACTGGAACCGGATGTGCACGGAACCTAGCTGCTGAGAAGCTCCAGTGAAGATAAATCAATGTTGAAATCCCAAAAACTAAAGTAAAAAGCTAATTTAATAAAAGCATTTAACTCCGGGCTCCTCCCGTGAGTAAACGGCGTAGTTGTCAGAGCAGACTACGGGGGTTTATTTGTCCAATGGTTGCAGCGCTGCTCCCTGCTCCTCTCCCCCAAGTTTAGCAGCTCTCAGCCAGCCAGCAGATTTTCAATCCCCCGCTCTGCCCGGCCCTCTCCGCTCATCGCTCTGAAGCCGTCGGTGACGTACGGACAATCTCAGCACTTATAGCCATGCGACTTTCTCGCTTGAGTTGAAAATATTCAACTCGCCGGACCGGCCCCCTTCGCATCGCTTCGCGCCGCCCGACAGGAAATCGCGGCTCTACGCGTCTTTGCATTGACTTTGTATGTAAACTCACCACCCCGAACGCTTGCTTCGCTTTTGGTCTGAAAGCAGCTTTAGACTTTGAAGATGATACCTTTGCATTTGTCATTGTTTCCTGATGTTTTGTAGACCAAGCTATTTATCAATCAATTGAGAAAATGATTATTCGATCGTGCAAAAAATGTATTAGTTGCAGCCCTAAATTTCACAGACTCGATCTTACATACAGCTCATACAGTGAAGAAGAGGTCTGATCAAGCCCATGCTTGTGGTGATGTTACTGGAAAACTTTATCCTTAAAACCACAAAGAAAATCACAAGCATGCTTAGGGTTTTAAAAGAGTTGTTTTTTTGTTTTTTTAAACCTGCCCAGCCTGGTATGAATATGAGGAGCTGGATACTATATTGTGCAACAAGAGAATATTATATATTATTATATTCCTTTGTCTGTTTTATTATTTATTTAAATGTATTTGTCACTGGGCCAGACAGGGGCCAGACATGGGGATAGGGGAAAGAAACACCACATAAACGGACAGCACAGAGAAAGGGGATGGGGGGTGGGGACAACAGGGAATAGCAGAAGTAAACACCAGGGGGTGCAGAGGGAGAGATGTGATGCAAAGCTACTGCTACCGCATGAGGTGAAAGTGACAGGTGCATTGCCGTGTTCTGATAACAAGAAGTTAGTTATTATAGTTTTGCTCGCTCAGCAACGTGGTCAGCCGTTGGAGCTGCAGCAGAAGCTGTGACACAGCTCAATGATGCAGTTACAGTAGGATACTTTAGAACCCGTAGCCCGATTGCTGCAATTTGTGTCAAGATCAAGTCATAACTCATTCAAATGTGATCACACAGACATACACATATTTTTAGATTCATTGTGACTCACACTTCTCATAATCTTTGATGTCCATAGAAAAAAGGCGCTCCCCATAAGTCCAGAACTTGCCTGAAAACCATCAAGTTTTCTTCAGAATCAAGTAAACCAGTAAGTGACTGGAACTGCTAATAGCTAATTAAGCATACTTTTAATGGTGCCAATTTGTCAAAGTCTAAACAAATTTAGGCAAAAAGAAAACGTTGTAGCTAACTCACTGACCCCATAGCAACATTATACTTCCTGATTACATCCCACAAAGCCACCGAATTATGGGAACTGTTCTTGCCAAACTAAGACTATAGCCTAATTATCCTCTAAATTGAAATAAGACAAAGAATAATAGGAGGGGGGTGGGGTTAGGCAGTAATGGATTTGCTGAAAACACACATTTCTGTCTGATTATTTTCATTGTGAACAGTTTTGCATTATGTTTTGTGGATCAATATTGATATTGAATCACAATATAAATTTACATTCCATGATAGAGGATTTTACTTATAACACCCACCCTAGTTTAGCCAATCCAGATATACAGTACCCTATTTTTCTGTGCCATGCAAATCCTTAATTACCTAAATAGTATTAAAAACACTTAAAACAGAGACTGTTATGAACAAAGCCAATGTAGTTTGTTCTGAAACAACAATGTGAAGGTATTTTCAATCTCTTTGTTTGCATCAGGTGTGGTCAACAACAAGGCAATTCAAAGTGCTCTACATAAAACAGCAACATAAGGCAAAATAAGAAGACTTT